TTCATTTATAAATTGTATGTTTTTGAATCTTTCAAAACAAAATGTTTTACCTGAACCCTCTCCAATCTTTTTCTGTAGAAATGTTTATGAGAATGTTGACATTTCTGTTTTTTTCCAAATTCCTTATAGAATGAAAATTCTGAGTCTTGGTCATCTCTACATAAAACGATAACTAGTAGCCCACATAATCTAGAATGGCTTTTCACCATCAGTCTGCTTCTTGATACAGGCTACCAGGGCATAAATGGAATGCATATTTTAAAACATCAATCAAAATGTGTGTTACTGTCCATATTTAGGACCTTGATTTGCTACAGCAAGTTTTTCGTTTGGGATTGAGTATCCAACTTGAATTTATAAATATGTAATTCACACCTTTATCTAAAATGTAAGCCTGTGGGTTTTGTAAGCACTGCCTTTCTATGTCCACTCTATAGAGTAGACCTTTAATTCTAAGGCCCAGTGGATTCATAATGAACTTTTCTAATGGCCACAGACTGATTCAATTAGGATCTACTCAAAGCAAAAATCAAATGAACTGTTAAGATTCCCTGCTGAGCCTTCTGTGCTGTCCCTGAGGAAAAGCAGGCTGCCACTTGTATTCATTGCTTCCTTTACCTGCCATATGAATGAAGGAGACTGTGGCTCGAAATCCCCCAAAAGTTTCTGTTTCATCTGATTTAAAGATGATCAGCATCACATTAGAGAAACTCAGGACAGGCGGTGGAACAGCAAATCCACAAGACTTGGCTGGAGATGATAGAACAATGATCCACAATTGGTTAGAGAACTCCACATTTTGGAGGCAATAGAAAAGAAGGGGAAGAAAAAAAGAGGGAAGGATATATTTTTCCAAAATACAAATATGTATAGAAATAAAACTATACATTAAAACTAACTTTTCACTAACTAACGTAGGTGTAACTTAAAAATGAATATGGTGCACCAAAGTTTACCACTAATACCATGAAGCTAGCAGGGATGTTCAATGTCTCCTTTCCTCTGCAGGGAAGTGCTGCTACCCAGCAAAGACACAGAAGTAGTTAATGTTGGTAATATTCCCAGTCTCCCCATTTCCTGCGCTGTGTGGCCCCATATCAAAGCAACACTCTTCAGTTGCTTTCAGACCCCTAAACTACAACACTTCCATTTATTGGAAAAGTAATAAAGACCTTGGGTCATGGCTCTAGCTCTATACTTTTACACATGAAAGATATATATAGCAGGCAAAGCAGTGGCCAAGACAATCCTGCCTTTCCAGAGTGACCTACAGGAGTCATTGCAAAAGAAACTGAGGTTAGGACAGGCTTAAGGGCTTCCCAAGACTGCACCCAACAACACTGGCTTCTGAATAAAGGGTGGTACTAACTACCTGACCCTATTTACTGGGAATAGGGTCAACAAAGAGGTGAACTGTGCCAAATTCTCCTGTGTACACTCATGTTAACTAGAAGCAACTCCAGCGAGGTAAACAGTGATAGTAATATCAAAGCTCAACTAAAATAAAGAAAAGGCCTCTGAAAAGCAGGTCTCATAACTATTTTGTTTAACTAATGTTTCAAAGACCAGTGCTATAAAACACTCATATTACTTATTTCGTTCCTTAAAATATAAGAATTTAGGAATGCATGTAATATACAATGTAGATGTGCCTGAGATTTTAATGACCTATACATGTTTATATGGCAGAGAAACATCATTTTCTTCAACATCGAGACAAGTATAGAGCAGTGATTCTCAACCAGAGTGCTTTGAGATCCTTTCAAGAGTGCTGTGGGATGCCACATGATGTTAGCACTGTTAAGTTTACAAACATGCTTCACAAGACAAACCCAGAGATTTCAAACAGAAATCCATAGTTGTGGTTTTTCTGAGTTCTTTGCAACAGAAAACTGCTCTACTATTTTTCTGTAAGCAAAAAATTAAAAAGTGTGAAAACTAAACTGGAATTTTCCAAGGGCTGCCTAGTTGAGACCCTTGGGTGTGTCCCCATGTGCAGGGTTGTCCAGTTGCCACAGCAAAAATAGCAGGAGTACAAATTTGTGCCACTGCTTTTTGCCACTGTGCACGCCCCTGCACATGGGGTTGGTATGGGGCAAATTGTCCCAGGTGCAGTAGGACAGGCTGAGGCCAGCACTTGGGCTGGCTTTAGCAGCCTGGCTTGCAGTCCTGGGGACCTCCTGGGGCAGCAGCAGTGGCAATCTGTGCTCTTGGAGCCAGACTGGCAGCCAGAGTGTAGCTCTGGCTGGCCAAGCTCCCTTTCTGGTAGCACACACTGCTACTGTATGTGCTGCACTGCTTTTTTAGCAGTGGTTTGTTTTTTTTACACCAGGATCTCCCAGTGTCAGAAAACCCACCATGCTGCCCATTAGCAGCACATGCACTGTGTGTGCATTCTTGGGGATGCACCCCTTAGCCGTGTGCAGACAAGCAAGCACATGCATGTTGCAGTGTCTCAAAGCAGTTTGAGATGCCACAAGAGGCATACTGGGATTGAAAAAACGTTCCCTGTGCTGCATATTTGCAGTGCAGATTCTAAATTTGATACTGGGAAATCCTGGTATAAAAAAAAAGCATGCTGAAAAAAAAGTTGTGCAGGACACGCTCCTGAAGCATGTCCTGAAGCAACCGGACACTGAGTCCTCCAGAGAGACACTCTAGCACCTAGCCAGAGTGTCTCTATGTGCCACCCCCACCTCCCCCATGGCACACAGCTTCCCTGCAGCAGCAGCAGGCTGTCAAGGTGCTCGTGGACAGCTCCTGGCAGAGGCCCCCAGCAGCTGCACATGGTGCACTCTGCCAGCCCAGCCCGCTGGTACACACCCTCAAACAGGACCAGGCCAGCTCTTGCTATCACCCAGGCTCCTGGGACCACACGTGAGAACTGTGCACCCTCGGGTCCTGCCTTCATGTGTCCCATGCACCACTGCACTGGGCCAGCTCCATGGAGGCAGGACCCAGCCCAGCTCAAGGGCACGTTGCTCTTGTGCGAGTTGCTAGGAGCCCAGGTGGCAGCAAGAGCTAGCTTGTTCCTACCTGAGGGCGCATGCTAGCAGGCTGGGCCAGTGCAGTATGGCTCTCTTCCAGGAGCTGACCATGAGCAACCCAATGGCTATTGCTGCTGCGGTGAGGCTGTGTACCATGGGGGGGCGGGGGGCAGGGG